CATTTTGCCTAAGGAGGAAAGGGCAAGGGAAAGGACTGAGCATACTCTGAGCGGGCAGTGAGCTCATTTCTGACTCGGTGAACTGCAACAACGTGGCATTCTCCGGGTTCCATCCGGGGCAGGTCTGGGTAGCCCTCGGACCTGATGGCCAGCAGATCAAGAACTGTGGTGGTAGCACGTTGGGTGCCATTTTGCGCACTGTGGCAATAGCTTTGGGACTGCAGGGGACAACAGTGAACTGTGCATGTGCTGAGCTCGCGAGAACTCGCTGAGGTCCCGCAGGAAAATAATACCAACTGTGGCATTGTACCAGTCAAAACAGGTCCGTGTGGCACCCAGACCTAACGTCCAACAAGTTCCGACAAGATCAGCGCCACCAACAACCTAACTAGGCTGTACACCTGGTGTCTCTTTAATCCTGGAACCCATTCCAACCAGAAGAGGGAGAAAGGTTGCAGAGACAACAGTGCACCCTCAGCACAGTATCACAGGAGGTGGAGAGTGGTGAGCCAAGAGCTGGGACTGTGGAGACCACGGTGGATATCTGACATAAGAAGCCAGACCTGGAACTCGCTGGAGGGTGTGGCACAAGTGGCTGCAAGCAAAAAGTTGTGTACCAACTGCAATAAGTAAAATCGCATTGTAGACCTGTGGGTCACACTGCTTAGAAACCTGCCCCAAGAAGAAGACTCTGCTAACCAATGAGTAGTACAATGATCTGCTAAGTACAATGATCAAGAGCAAAAGAAGAGACAAAGGCACAATGAATATTACTAAATCTCCCCTGCAAAGGAGCAAAACCCTATGCCAACCTCAGAGTTCACTGAGGAAGACATTGAGAAAATGGGGGACACAGAATCCATAAGACTCATTTTAAAGATTCTGGTCAAAAATGAGAAGTTAATGCAAGAGTTCAAAGAATTTAAGGAAGCAGTAAAGCAAATCAAGACTGGAATATCAGAAATTAAGAACACAGGAGAGCAAATTACAAGTACAATGGAGAGTCTCCAAAATAGAATGAAGCAAGCAGAAGAAAAAATATCAGAATTGGCAGAAATCTCCTGAACCAGGGGGAAGCCAACAAAAAGCTGGAAGCAGAGCTGGATCAGGCCAAAAAAAAGTATTCAAGAATTGAAAGACACTACTAAGAGGCCAAATATAAGAGTGCTGGGAGTCCCGGAAGGTGCAGAAAGAGAAGCTGAGTTTGCAAATGTATTTAATGAAATAATCAAGGAAAATTTCCCTAATCTGGAGAAAGAATTGGGAAACAAGATCCAGAAGGGACACAGAACTCCCAACAGGCTTGATCAAAAGCGATCTTCACCAAGACATATGATTATCAAGCTCTCTTCAATTGAACATAAGGAAAAGATCCTTAAATGTGCACGTGAAAAACATCAATTGACATATAAAGGAAGGCCAATTAAGCTCACAGGAGATCTCTCACAGGAAACTCTACAGGCAAGAAGAGAATGGAGTGACATATTCCAGATTCTAAAAGAAAAAAATTGTCGGCCTAGGATAACATATCCTACAAAGCTTTCTTTCGTTTATATTATATTTTGACAATAGGATTCTGGACTCTCTGCCATTGTCCATGCCCGCAATGATGAACATATGACTGAGTATGAAGAACTATATGTTAGTAATGATATAAAGTAACTGGGGTGGGGAGGGAATTGGGGAGGGGATAAGGGAATATGGAACTATATCGTAAAATGATAGCAATAATAATAAAATGTGAAAAAAAGCCAGATACATCCTACAAAACTTATAACTGCTCTCCTGAGAGTGCTTACAGCACATACATTACATGTGTAATATATATACTACATGTTCTGCATCACATATATTGCAACTGTATCTTAGCTTACCTACAAAGCATAAAATTTGGGAATACAACAATCTCCTTTGTATATTTTTGTATACCTTTAAACACAGACTGTATCAATACATATTGATTTACAGCCTAAAACATGAATCAATGGGTTAATCAATTTAATGAATAATATGAGAGATGTGGACAGCTTTTCTCAGCACAGAGGCCAGCAGAATTGATCCAAACACTTACCTCAGATTCCTTCCAGAGAATTCCCAGAGAGATGAGAGGCCCATATTCAGCTGTGTGGCATTGAATCTGTGACAAGTCTCTGGTGGCCTGTGTGGCCTATATGAAAGTGTTGGGGCCCCAGAAACATGCAGACAAAGCTCCCGAGCCCAACTCTGCCATTACTGGCTGATTCGTGTGAACTTATTTATCACTTTCAGGTTGAGGTTCCTTTACTGTTCCTTTATGGAACCACAGATATAGAGCCTTCTCACCTTTTCCTTTTTTTCTCTACTTGGATTATTTGAATGAGATGCATGCATGTGAAGTGCCTGGTAGAGTGAAATACATGAGGGACTGAGGTTAAGTCTGTCTGTTCCCTCAAGTTCCTCTCTTACAGCTCAAGGAGCTTTCATATTTGCCAATTGATTTTTGGTTTGGTTTGGTTTGGTTTGGTTTGGTTTTTTGAAGAGAACATAATTGTCGGGTTTTTTAACAGCAACTATGTCAATGAGAACCAATCACTAACTCTGGTTTCGAGGTTCCTCTTCGAGTTTCAGTATGCCCAGACCAAGAGTGGCAGGGGCAATGAGAGAATCTCCTGCAAGCTTCAGCCATACCAAGTTAGCACCACCAGAGATCTGCTCTTAGGCCCTGGTGGATCATGTGGGGCCTCAGTTCTTCCTGTACAAGTAAGCTTTCTTTAGCCACTACATCATTTTTTTCCATTTTTCTTTATTTTTGACAATCTTTATATAGTTAATTAGGGCAAAAAGGTTTAAGGGCTACAGGAAAGTGGGTAGAACTATTATTTCCACATTTTTTTTCCTGTATCTGGAGTAAAGGAGGAGATAAAGAGAGAAGCCCCACCCAGTTTCCCACCCCAGGTCCCTGATGTGGGGCCATGCTCCAAGGGTCTTGCTCAAGTGATTTTGATAGTTCAACAGTTCTGAATTGCTGCCAGTCTCACCATTCCAAGCACAATGAAGTTGCTGAAGAATCCACTGATTGACATAGTCCATCATAGAGTCTCTGTTTGCCCACTTTTTCACTGCCAACATATGGCTGGGGTAGATGATTGATTTGTTCTGTCCTCTGTCTTTTCATGGTTAGGGTTCTGAGTCCAGCAGTTCAACTGGGGAGATCTCCAAAGAAAATTTGTCTGAGGTGATCCCAGACCAGATTCTTGTGTGTAATTGGCAAGTACAGGGCTCAGTACAGTCTATCACCCCAATCAGCTGGTGGTTGTAATTGCTGGATCGTTTCTGTTTCCAGTGCTATCTTTCATCACTGGAACCAATGGGTGTTGCAGTCCAGCCTGGTTCTGCCCAGCTCACACACGGCCTTCACATAAACCAGTGGGAGCTTCAGCCTAGTCAGAGTGGCCCACAATAACCCCCATCAGGCCCGGCCCCTATTCTGGTTCCCATGCTTGCCATTATGTGCAGCAGACTAGTCCAGTCTGTCCCACAGCCCATTCAGCTCTCATACATGGGCACTGAAGCCTAGTTCAACCTAACCAGCTCCACTACCCACAGATGTTATGTGCCTTTATGTCTAGCCACCCAGTCCCTGTCCTGGTTTTCATGCTCTCCAGGGACAGTGGTAACCCAAGAAGGAGGAGTCCACTATTTCCCTTCTAGGCCACTCCCACTCCCAGATTATGTACTCTCCAGGTGGTTCTGGAATTCCACTTGACAGATTTAGCCACCAGTGCCAGCCTCTGCCAGCTGATGCCGTGGCAAAGCCCAAGCATCCCTCACCCACTCTAATTTATGCTTGGACCAGTCAGAACAGTCAGTCCAACCTGGCTTTTCCCTGAAATAGTTCACATGAGGCTCATGGGTATTGTAACCCTGCTTAGTTTGGTCTGCCCCCATCCCAATCCACACTCTCCAGCGGAGTGGCTGTCCAGCAGGAGAGCCCTCCACATTCCCCCTGCCTACCCTGGCCCCTCCCTCCCTGGTTCTCACCTGTGCTGGTTGGGTGCTGCGGCCACATTTGGTACAGGTCACCTCACCTTGGCGTTCCGTGATGTGCACTGGTTTTGGTTGCTACCGAACCCGGTTCAAACCACACTCTGTTCTGGTGCTCAGATTTGCCAGTGGGTGATGTGAACTGGTTCAGCATGGTCTGCCCCCAACCCCTGCCAAATGTATGCCAATGGGTAACTTTCCATGGCCTATTCTGGGCTGTTTCCTATCATGCTTCTTGCACTTGCTTGCAGGGACTGTGTCCTGCCAGAGGAGTTGTCCAGGCTCCTCCATCAGAACATCTCCCAGTGCCAGATTTTGTGCATACCAGGGGGTCCATAAGCCAGCCCTATTCAGTTCACCTACTGTCCTAGCAGGAACAGTGGCCTTTCCTGACTGACCTTCAACCCAGTCTGGTTTTTGCTGTTGGATCTTTCAGCCCAGCCATGACTTGTCCATATCCACATACAGCTCACACAAGGCTCAGTAGGGACTGAGACCTAGCCTAGTCTGTCCCACATCTACCCTGGTCCTCCAGAGCACCAGATGGTGTTGGAGTATAGCCTGGCTTCAAACGTCCAGTCTCAGCCCACAGTTGTGCCAAGGGAGACTACAGCCGTGTCCAGATCAGAATGCAGCCCCCGTTCCAGCCCCCATGCTCCTCGGTGGGAATCTCAACCGAGCAAGGGTGTCCCCTTGGCTCCCCAACCAGGCCTATTCCCAGCCATAGATCACGCGCTAGCCACTACATCTTAGAGAGCTCCCAAAAAACATTGGCTTGGACTCTGAAAATCTTCATTATCTTCTTTATTAAACTATTGTGATTTCTGAGGTTGATAACAAAATTTCACCTTTTGCCAAAAGATTCCATTTCTTTGGTTTGAAACACAAGAAGGTAATACACAAAAAAAGGAGATTCAATTTTGAAAAATAGAATTATTTGTCATGTGCTTTTATTAAGTCATAAAGTTCTCAACTATGTCTTCAACTTAGGAAAAATCCTGAAGATGGCCAAAGATGACTCCACTGTCCGTTGCTTCCAGGGCTTGCTGATTTTTGGAAATGTGATTATTGGTGTAAGTAACCAGGATTTTCAGGAGATTCTGCACTTCCTTTAACCGTGATTTTAGATTCATCAGAAGTGAGAGTTTAAAGGAAATAAATGGCATAATTACCAGCTTACTATATTTGTTGTATTTCTTTTATTTTAAAAAATTTGTTAGTAAATATGTTAGCTAGAGTTTAATTATATAATTAAATGCAACCATGTAATACAACAGATGCCTACAGTTGAAAAATAGGTATTTCCCTTTACTTTTTAAGATTTTATTTATTTGTTTGTTTGTTTATTTATTATTTGAAAGGCAGAGATACAGAGAAAGATAGAGAAAATCCACTAGTTTACTCCTCAAATGGCTGCAACAGCCAGGGCTAAGCCATGCTAAAGCCAGGAGCCTGGAATTCCATCTAGGTCTGCCACGTGGGACCAGAGGCCTAAACATATGGGCCTCTTCCACTGCTTTCCCAGGCTCATTAGAAAGAAGTCAGACTGGAAGTGGAGCAGCCAGGACTCAAACAAGTACCCATATGGAATGCTGGAGTGGTAGGTGGTAACTTAACCTATTTGACCATAATGCCAACCCCTCCCTCCCAACTTTAAAACAATCTAACGGAAATCATGATCAGTGTCCAAACATTTCCATCAGTTTGATACACACACACTTTGGTATTTCTTTCCTCTTTTTCTTTGGTTTGAATTTTTATGGGACTATAATGTTAAACGTGGTTGGGGTGGGAGTAGATTTTTTTCTCTTCTTGATATAATCCAAACCAGGATGTGAAAACAACTCAGAGGCAGAATTGTATGGTCCTGATAGGGTGAGCCTGCAGTGCAAGTCATTACTTTTCAAGGCCAATATCCCTCATCTAGAAAAGAGGGATTTGGACAGAATAATCACCAAGGTTCCTTCAAGCTCTCACTAATAAATAGGACTGAGAACTCTTTAAGTACTACAGCCTAGGAATTGGGAGAAAGTGAGGGGACACCCAAGTGGCAAGAATTATCTTCATGTAAGTAGGCATCGGGTCTAGATGTGTCATGCCGCAGAGACTTAAAGAATGATGTAAAATGGTCTTAGTCTTTTCCCCAGATATCAGCACAAGGTGAGCAAGCAATCAGCAGATGGAAAGAGTTGTCTGATATCCTAGAGTTGCAGGGGAGGGAGTGAGTCTCTCTTCCCAGGCTGCCTTTGTCCCTTTTCCCAACGATGCTGTCCTGGCCACCAGCTGACGGAACCCACTCTGCCCCCAGATGTGCGGCATTGCCCTGACAGCAGAGTGCATCTTCTTTGTATCTGACCAGCACAGCCTCTATCCACTGCTGGAAGCCACCAACAATGATGACATCTTTGGGGCTGCCTGGATTGGCATGTTTGTTGGTATCTGCCTTTTCTGCCTGTGCATTCTAGGCATCGTGGGCATCATGAAGTCCAACAAGAAAATCCTTCTGGCGGTAAGATCTTCAAACTCTCGACAGTGGTTTTCTTGGAGAAAAGTCTAAAGGATTGCTTGTGCTTTGCTGAGAAGAACTTTAAGCTTTCAATGGGGCAGGTGGGAACAGAGTGCCAGAAGATAGTTAAGACTTAACCTCAGCAAAGATTGCTCCTGTGGGGAAAGGACACCCTCCACTATTGCAAATCCAGACAATTCCTGTACAAAGAATGCCAAGGGGAGACACCTGAGATCACTTGCTGAGTGTTTCCCAGATCTGGCTTTTCCAAATGATATCTACATGTATCAACAAAGACAACAGGTATAACCAGGGAAATATACAGGAGAACTTGTTTATGAGATTTTGTTTTACCATAAGCAATCTAAAATACTACTTCACTGTTACTCATGTATTGATATAAAATACAAATAGGAATAAATTTTTAAGAGAAAGCATAAGTCTTTTTTTTTTAAATATAATTTATTTTTATATTCTTTACATACTTAGTTAGAGTAAGAAGGTTCAAGGGCTACAGGAAAGTGGATAATACTAGTATGTTTTCCATATTGTTACCTTCATGTTTAAAAGGGGGGTATTAAGGGAGAAGGCCAACCCAATTTCCCACCCTCCCCAAGTCCCGGGTGTAGGGCATGCTCTGAGGTTCTTGCTCGAGTGGTTTTGATGTTGCAACAGTTATGAATCGCTGTCAATCTCGCCACTCCAAGCACTATGAGGTCTTTGAAAAATCCACTGATTGACATAGTCCATCATAGCTGAGATGGTTGGTTGACCTGTTCTGTCTTCTCTCTTTTCTTCGTTAGGGTTCTGAGTCCAGCATTTAGATTAGGAAGATCTCCAAAGAAACTTCTTGTATGTGCTAACAAGTACAGGGCCAGGCACCGTCCATCGCTCCAATCAGCTGGTGGTTGTAATTGCTGGGTTGGTTCTGTTTTCACTCCCGACTTCCACTGGAACCAATGGGTGTTGCAGTCCAGCCTGGTTCTGCCCCGCACATATTTGGCCCTCACCTAAACCAGTGGGAGCTGCAGCCTAGTTGGAGCGACCCACAATAACCCCCACCAGGACCGCCCCTACCCTGGTTTGCCAGTAAGTGTAGCAGTAATCCAGTCTGCCCCACACCCCATTCCACCCCAGCCACTGTTTAGTTTTATGTCCTCCCGTGGAAGTGGTAACCCAAGAGGGATGAGCCCACTATTACCCTCCCAGGCCTCTCCCACTCCCAGATTCCAGCTGCCCAAAACAAACCTCGCCCACTTTAATTCTGTTTGCACCAGTAGGAATAATCCACCGAGCCCGGCTTTTCCCTGATCTAGTCCACATGAGGCGCACAGGTGTGGTAGCTCTGCCTAGTCTGGTCTGCCCCCATCCCAGCCCATGCTCTCCAGCGGGAGTAGCTGTCCAGCAAAGGAACCCTCCCTTATTCCCCTGCTGGCTCTGCCTACTTCCTTTCTTGTTCTCAGGCTGGTTGGGCGCTGCGGTCCCCTCCGGTACAGGCAACCTCACCTCGGCATTCCATATTGTGCACTAGTCTTTGTTGCAACCGAACCTAGGTCGACCCACACTGGTGCCTGGATTTGCCAGTGGATGACGTGGACAGATTCAGCCTGGTCTTGCCCCTACGTCTGCCAAGTGTATGCCAGTGGGTAGCTTTCCATGGCCTGTTCTGGGCTGTTTCCTATCATGTTTCTTGCGCTGACCTGCCGGGTCTGTGTCCTGCCAGAGGAGTTGCCCAGGCTCCTCCATCAGAACCTCTCCCAATGCCAGGTTACACGCTTACCAGTGGGTCCATGAGCCAATCCTACTCAGTCCACCTCCTGTCATAGCAGGAACTGTGGCTTTTCCTGACTGGCCTTCCACCCAATCTGGTTCTTGCTGTTGGATGTTCCAGCCCAGCCATGGCTTGTCCATACCTACGTATGGCTCACACATGGCTCAGTAGGGGTTTGAGACCTTGCCTAGTCTATCACACATCTGCCCTGGTCCTCCAGAACACCAGGGGGAGTCGGGGTCCAGCCCGGTTCGGTGCATCCAATCCCAGTCCACACTTGTGCCAAGGGAGACTACAACTGTATCCAGATCAGAACGCAGCCCCCCTTCCAGGCCACGTGCCTCTTTGTGGGAACCTCAGCCCAGCTAGGGTTGTCCCCTTTGCTCCCCAACCGGGTCTGTTCCCAGCGATAAATCACTCGCATGCCAGTGGTTGCTCTGACTCAGCTTAGCACAGCTCCTCACCTGTCCCGACCTCTGCCTTAGACACTGTGGCTTTGTGTCCCTGGCTCCTGCAGACCAGTAGGTACAAGAGCCTAGCTTGGCATGACCTTTGCTCCCTCCTGGTTTCTAGTTTTGCTTGTGGGCTAAGGTTTGCTCCTTCGTACCAGATCTACTCTGTTCCCCACCAGTTGACACATTAGCCAGCCGTTGGAGCTACTTTTGCAGGACAAGCCCCAAGCCCAGGCTTCTGCATGGACTGGTATTTGGTGCCCAGCATTATTAGTGATTATAACTTTTACAAAGAAAGAGTTACTGCCTGTTTCAGGTCCGAGAATCACAATGTGTTCAACCTGGAGCTAATTAAGCAGCCACTGAAAGAACAAAATCCCCAGAGCTCCCAGCCGGGCGGCCAGTAGGCGGAGCCTGGCACCAATGGCACACTGGCCGCCCGGATATGACTCACCATGTTCCCATGGTGGCCGTCTGGGATCCAGGCATGAGACGGCCCCGTCCTGACACCCACCAGCTGCCAGGAGGCAGCTGGAGGTTTAAATTCCCAGGCCTAAGGTCGCGCCCCTCCCAAATCCCCTTCACCGCCCAATGAGGGCGGTGGCTGGGTGCCGGACCTGCCCGGTCCCAGAGGCCTCCCCCCTCGGTCTACTCACCCCAAAGGAAGCAGCCTCTGGAACCCAGCAGGCCCGGACACGGCTCACCATGTGCCCATGGCGGCCGTCCGGAATCCAGGCATGAGACGCCCCGTCCTGAGACCCACCAGCTGCCAGGAGGCAGCTGGAGGTTTAAATTCCCAGGCCTAAGGTCGCGCCCCTCCCAAATCCCCTTCACCGCCCAATGAGGGCGGTGGCTGGGTGCCGGACCTGCCCGGTCCCAGAGGCCTCCCCCCTCGGTCTACTCACCCCAAAGGAAGCAGCCTCTGGAACCCAGCAGGCCCGGACACGGCTCACCATGTGCCCATGGCGGCCGTCCGGAATCCAGGCATGAGACGCCCCGTCCTGAGACCCACCAGCTGCCAGGAGGCAGCTGGAGGTTTAAATTCCCAGGCCTAAGGTCGCGCCCCTCCCAAATCCCCTTCACCGCCCAGTGAGGGTGGTGGCTGAGTGCCGGACCTGCCCGGTCCCAGAGGCCTCCCCCCTCGGTCTACTCACCCCAAAGGAAGCAGCCTCTGGAACCCAGCAGGCCCGGACACGGCTCACCATGTGCCCATGGCGGCCGTCCGGAATCCAGGCATGAGACGCCCCGTCCTGAGACCCACCAGCTGCCAGGAGGCAGCTGGAGGTTTAAATTCCCAGGCCTAAGGTCGCGCCCCTCCCAAATCCCCTTCACCGCCCAATGAGGGCGGTGGCTGGGTGCCGGACCTGCCCGGTCCCAGAGGCCTCCCCCCTCGGTCTACTCACCCCAAAGGAAGCAGCCTCTGGAACCCAGCAGGCCCGGACACGGCTCACCATGTGCCCATGGCGGCCGTCCGGAATCCAGGCATGAGACGCCCCGTCCTGAGACCCACCCGAGAAAGCATAAGTCTTTTTGAAAATATTTTTCAGTTTAATTTTGTGTGATGCTCTGCATTTCCCACATTTTTATTTGCTTTGTTTTTAAAGTCCTCTAGAGCCCTTGATAATCAACTCTGGAGAGAATATGTGCAATGCACATCTGTCTCTGGAGGTTCTGATTAGGTGTACCCCCAGAATGGTTTCTGCCACAAACTACAGCCAACAAGATCACACATTGCCTTTGCAGATGCAAGAAAAGATGCAGCCAGCCTGTCTGAGAAAGCTGAGTTTGGCCTTGATGCCGGCTCCCAGCCTCCTGCCCTCTTGCTCTCAAGGCAACAGTTCTTACATTGTGTCAGACATTCTGGCAAACACATAGGACTTTCAATCCCTGAAATAATCCCCTCCCCAAATGCTGCAGGATTGGAGTTATACCTTACAGAACAAGTCCAGCAACTTGAAGTTCTTTTTTATTTACTTTCCCTTTGAGCTAACCACCATCTGGGTACCCCAAGAATGCAGCACAATTACATTCCGTAGTTCCTTGGTGTGTGTAAGGTCTAGGACAAAAGGACCTGCTTGGAAAATGTGAGGAAAGCAATGTTAGAGGGGAAAAAGGCAGAGAAGAGATGGGTGTCCCTAGTGACAACCTATACTTGTGTTCCAGCCTTCCTTTGATCCAGTTCTCCCTTCCATCAAAGGGACTGAAAGGAGACACACCTGCCCCCGGGGCCTCTTCCCTGGAGGGTTGCTAAGCGGATCTGTAAGAAGAGCCTCAAAGCCCTTGACAAGGAACAAGTGTGGAGCTAATACAGGAAAAGCATTCTGTGCCTCTCACAGTCTCCCACTGGTGACTCTCAGCTAGAACTTTCTCTGGGCCAGACAGTGAGGATAGCAAAGAATAATTTCTCACCCTCCCCCACTGGCACTGACCACAGTGTCCCTTCCCAGGGACACAAAGACCAGGAAAGCACAAGTAAAAGCAGGAAAAGACAAACCTCGCCAAGCGTTTCCATTCCAGATTCAGAAGTCATTTACAGTTCAGCTAACCTCAAGCCAAAGGAGTCTGTGACCTATGAAACCATTAGGGACATACCCACTCCACCCCTATGCTCTCTCACTCACCTGTCTGGTCATTAGAGGGAGAAGGGTGACACAAGAAGGCCAGCAAGTCTGTGAGAAACTGCCTGCTTTGCTCTGAAGAGAACAGGTGCTGGTTAGGAGGGACACGGACTGTTAAGCAGGATTTGAATCATCTCTTTCTGCCTTCTGTGATTCTACGTTTTTAGCAAACCATTGAAAACACATCCTCCCAAATAAAGGTGATTTATGAGGTTCTACATGGTGTGTGAGATACCAAACTCGTAAGTAACCACTGAGCCTGCATGCGCACGCGCGCACACACACACACACACACACACACACACACACACACACACACCAGTTCATTCTCTTGCACTTGGTTCTCCCAGTTAAAATAGAAATTCAGGATGCTTATCTGAGAAACTGTGTGTTCAGTGACCATTCATTCTCTGGAGAAAAGGGGAGAACTGATCTGACTTGCACCAAGCGTTTTTCTCACACAGCCCATGCCAAACTGCTCTTCAGTGAGCACTTGTGGAATAACTCTGTAAAGGATTGGATGATTTTTATCCAGGGAAATATGCTGAAAGATGATAACAACCATTTGGGGAAGTCTCTCTTGGAGGGTAATGTAATTCTTCTCTCTTGTTTGCTTCCCTTCAGTATTTCATTCTGATGTTTATAGTATACGGCTTTGAAGTGGCATCTTGTATCACCGCAGCAACACAACGAGACTTTGTGAGTACAGAATCGTCACGCACAGAGCAACAATGATAACAGAGTTGTCATTTCTAGGGCAGGCATCTGTCATAGCAGTTAATGCACCCATTGGGATGGCAGCAACCTATATAACAGTAACTGGGTTTGAATTCCCAACAGTTTTCCTCCTAATTTTCTGCTAACCACTTGGCAAGTGGCAGGTAATGACCCAATGGCTTGGGTCCCTGAAATATACAGAAGAGACCTACCTGTTATTCCTGGCTTCATCCTTGTCTAATCCCCTCTCCCCACACCTGCTGCCTCAGCATTTAGGGAATGAACCAGCAGATCATTCTCTGACTTCATCAGTGCCTTTCAAGCCAGTAAATAAAGCTTTTTTAAAAACAGCCATATTTAGCACAATAATTTTATAGCTGACATGCATCAAGCCCTAAACTATGTGTCAGATAGTCAAATGTGCATATAAATGACATAGGTATACATGTTTAATTTTACTGAATCATTGCAATCTGTGACAGACATGGTCACTATCCTTGTTTCACAAACAAAAACAAAGGTAAAGTAACTTGTTTAAAGATGCTCAGCTGCCACGCCAGAATTCTGAGCCTGTGCAGGCTGACTCCCAGGGCCCAAGCCTGTAACCCCTGTGTTCCTCATCTTTCTGCATGGCCATTGGCCTCCCAATGCCATGATCAATATAGTACCACAACAAACACTGCTTGCCAATTCAGCATCTCTCCTACTTTTCCCCCTGAGTCCCTGGCCTCAGGTCCCCTACAATGTCTACCCATTGGTCTCAAGGATTTCTTTCAAGGTGGGGGAATTCAGCCAATTGGAAGCAGCCTTAGCTGACTGCACTTGGTGCCTCTATGAACAATTTTTCTCCAGGAGAGATAGTTCTGTGTTCCTAGCAACTAGCTGAGAGTATCCTCTGCTCTGGGGACTATAACTCTTTCTCTTGTGTTACACCTTCCCCCTGCAGTTCACACCGAACCTCTTCCTGAAACAGATGCTGGAGAGGTACCAGAATAACAGCCCTCCAAACAATGATGACCAATGGAAAAACAACGGAGTCACCAAAACCTGGGATAGGCTAATGCTCCAGGTAAGGCCTGCAATTCAGGTAAGATACCACTATGCATCTAAACCAATAACTAAGGGATGGAGTTAGGAATGAACTAAATGTGTGAGGACTGTGACCTCCCCCAGCCCTTCTTGGAAAAGCTTCTTATAGACAAAATCCTCTATTCCTCTGATTGATGAGAGCAAGGAAAGGATGGAGGTAGGTGGATAGGAATGGGGAAAGGAGGGAGGGCGGGAAGGAGTGTTATGCTCATGACTCAGTGGGACCCCCACATCTGTCTTTTGTTTCAAGCTAGGATGCTGACAAGCTTAGTTATACGGATAAGAAATAACTGTTAAAACATTTACACCACTCACTTGTTCTACCTCTTACAACTCGAGTATCATTTACAATAAAAGAAAAATGTTGTCTTTTCTGTCCCCACTGTGAACTCAAAAGACCATTATCACCTGGTTTTGGGGGGTTTTTGTTTTTTGGTTTTTGGTGTTTGATTTTTTGCTATCTTGTCACACCTCCTATAATCTCATCCTAAGAACAAGGTCTATTATTTTATTTGGTTACTCAATTTTCTCCAACTGGCAATCACATATGTTTATCTCAAATGCCACCAAAAACTTAAACAGTTGGAAATACCAATCCTTACTCCGATATTACCCTATGTATACAAATTGTTATCTTCTTCACAACCCTGATCAACCCAACTCTCACAATGGCCCCCACTCCAACACCAACTTTCCACAGCATATCATCAGCAACCACTCTGATAGCCTCCATTCCTTCTTCAAGCTCTCTTTTCACTGGTTACCTCACCAGTAACCTAGCTGTGTCCTGTGGGAAACACTCCCATTTTTTCTCCTACCTTGCACACCATGTAGCCTATACATTGGCTCCCCTTGGCTGCCATGCTATTTTCTTCATTCGTTTCTTCCTCCATCAAATATTTAAAGTCCTGTCCTCAATCCACATCATCCATGACTCTTATTGATATTATTTAGCAGCATCTCTACACCAAGCCTGTTCTCTTGCCTTCATTAAAGATTTTAGTAGCTCATTATTTACCTCTTCCCTCATACTTCTATCTGGAGAATTAAATATCTATATGAAAGATTCATTCAATGTTTGATCTTCAAATCCATGTCCTACTCCCTTCCAAACATTATATTCTCCCTCTTCTATGACCATAAAGAGCCATCGCCAATAACTATATCAGCTTAGAGAATCCCACTCTGTGCTATGGGTTTTTTTTACCCTAATACCCCCATTTCCATCATTTTGCTCCCATTACATCTGCTCTAATTGACTTCAGTTTCTATCAGCTTTCTCATGTTTTCTCTGCTCTTTTTACCTAACTTCTATTTCAGGTCCAGCCCTATAGCAATTCCTGTACTGGTCATTTTTACTTCTCCTCCTGTCTGTGTTCACTGGCCTTTCCAAAACAGTCCCTACTGCAATTGAATATAATTTTTGGCTCACTCTAACCTGTAAGAGATTAACATTGCTGGAAAAAAGTCACATACTCGTGCTAGCTTCAATTCAAATATATGACCACGGAACTCAAATGTACACTCAATATTTCCTTCTGTGTTTTGAAGAAAATTTGCTTGCTTCTATTTTTATATCTTGTTCCCTATTTTTATACATCCAATATCCTCTCCTCACATCACTCTCAGCTGTGATCTGATGTCAAGTTTTACTGAGGGAATAGAAGCAATCACACAAGAACTATCTCATCTTTCTACCATCAAATATATCCATCTATGTTTACCTGCACTTGTGTACTGTGCTTTTTTTTTCAACTTTGTTTGTTTCAATTCTGGATTATTTTGCCTATGCTCTGAAAATCTCCCCTGTTCAGATCTGTCCCATCAATTGCACCCTTTCAGCAAACTAAAAGAAAATCTTAAATCGTCCGTCTTTTCAAAAAGCTCTCTTGCCCCACAGCCAATCAACAAAACAAATAGGCTTTATATCACAACAAATCTGGAAAGAGGTATCTACACTTGCTGTCTCCATTTCACATTTTTCATCTGCTTTTGTGCAACTATAATTGGTTTCCGACTTCATCACTTCACTGAAATGGACCTTTATCACAATTACCAATTATATCCATCCTGTCAAATGTAATGGCCAAATTTCTGTCCTAATCTTAATAGACATTGTCACCAGCATTTGTCACTATGGTCATTCTCCTTAGTCTGTTTTGCTGGATTTTTCACTTTTCCCCAACTCTAAATGTTGGAGTACCTCAAAGCTCAATTCTTTAGCCTTAACTCTTTTTCATCTCTGCCTAAATCCTAACCTAAAATAAAACTAATTCAAACCTAAAATTTTTCCCCTAGAATTCTCAGGTTAAAATACAGAATGAGAGCAGTGGTTTACAGCAGTCAAGATCCTGTTTGGAATACCTGCATCCCTTGTCAGAGTCCCGGGGTGGTTTGGCTCCCACCTCTTGCCCCTGTCTCCAGCTTCCTGCTAATGCACACACTGCAAAGGCAGCAGATGATGGCTCAGGTATTCGGGTCTCCAACAGCAACATGGTAGACCTAGATCACGCTCCTGAGTCCTTTACATCAAAAACTGAGCTGGTGGAGAACAGTCTCTCCCTCACTCTCATTTCCTCCCTCCCTTACTCTCTCTCGAACAATTTCTTTAAAAAAATTACTATTTCGGGTGCCTACTTTTTTCCTATAATACAATGGCAAAAATGGACATCCTTTAAAAATAATTGATTTACCATCATGTTTGTTTAATTGCATGTATTCTAAAATACACCTGCAGTTTTAACTTCCTTCCTTGAAATATTTTAGTACAATTTATTTTGAAGAAGGAAGGGAAGTGATATGAACTTTTACTCTCCAACCTGAATCATATTTAGAGTGCACAAATATCAGTTATGTATTGATTAAAGTTTCTTTCCTATAAACAGCACATGGTTTGGGTTAGTTTTTCTAGTTTCTGTTCTTCCATTTTACAAGAAATACATAATTACTCTGGAAAAAGATGTTAAAAATATAGAAAAACAAAGCAAGAAATATTCATAATTCCTTTATTTGTAAACTTACATTTTCTGATTCTCAATTTACTCATTTGTAATATTGGCATAGTTATATTGCTTTTGCATCGATGTATCAAAATACTGGTCTTAATAATAACTAATGTTTCTTAAGGATTTACTACAAGCCAAGCACTGGAATAAACATATTATGTTAATTTATGTTAATTTATTGTATGTATGTATGTATGTAACATACCTGTATGTTAATTTATTGAATTCTCTTAATTTTATAGGATAGACATTACAGGTATACTTATCCTAATTATGTAATTAAAAGAAAATGAAGTTCAGAGAGTTTAAGTAACATGTCAAAAGCCCCAAGTTCATTATTGGCAGATAAAAGTATAAAAAAATATTTCATAGACTCTAAAATATAAGCAATTGATTCTGCACTTCTAATTTTTAGTAAAAATATAATGTAGTATACTTTCCATTTCTTTTTTTTTTTTTTTTTAAGATTTGTTCACTTATTAAACAGGATGAGTGATAGAAAGAAAACATGCATCCCTTGATTCAAACCCCAAATGACCACAACAGCCAGGACTAGGTGAGGCCAACGCCAGAACCATCCGGGTCTCTCACGTAGGTTGAACTGGCCCAAGTCAGGCCATCTTCCTCATTGTCCACATTCCTCAGGAGCATTAGCATGGAGCTGAATGAAGGCAAAGTAGCTTGGGATGCTGGCAAGATAAGCAGAAGCTTCACGTGCTGCACAGCAATGTTGGCCCTTCTTACTTTACGATTTCCCTTGCTGTATGGATGGCTTGAATAAAGATAATGAAAGAGAATTGTGTACCTCTCATCCACTGACAGGATAACTGCTGTGGTGTCCACGGCCCATCAGACTGGCAGAAATACACATCAGCCTTCCGGACAGAGAACAATGACGCCGACTATCCCTGGCCTCGCCAGTGCTGTGTCATGAACAATCTTAAAGAACCTCTCAACCTGGAAGCTTGCAAACTAGGAGTGCCTGGTTATTATCACAATCAGGTGAGTCCTCTCTCCTGCCAACACCTGCCAGAACATTCTCATGGCTCTGTAGAAGAAAGCATTGATCAGCTGTAGAAAATAGTCTCTCAGAAGGGAACACTCCACCTTTTTCACCTCAACCAATTTTAACCATTTCATGATTCTCTCTGGGTGAGCTGTGAATGCCCATCTATAGCTCATGTGGGCAAATTTACATGTCATGAAATTAACAGAACAAGAGTTTTGCAATAGTAAAATCCAACGTTGTTTTAATGATGACTTTACAGTGTATAGAATTGGCTTTGAATTGGTGCTTTGAATGTTTCATTAAACAAAGCTTCACTCTGTAACATGTAGCTAGGAAGGGATGATATACAAGCACCATGTTTGGCCAGCTCCACAGCAGGAGCCGAGGCTAAGGGTCATCACATATTCATGGTCCTTCTAAAGTGGCAGTGTAGATCAGTCTTCTAAAAATGAGCATTTTGTTGGTAATTTAGGAAGTTCACGTATGGCTGGTTTTGGAGAAAAGTGTTTTCAGGCTGCTAGAGATGATAAATGTTCATGAAGCATTTATTGAGTACTTGCTGAATGCAGATACTAATCCTTTGATGCCAAGAAGTTAGTAGCAATATATTCCTTATTTTATAGAAACGAAACTAAGAAGCAGAAATACTTACCAGAGCGCAATCTGTAAGCCAATAAAGACTTGATAAGACTTCTCAAGAGCCCTAATGAGGGCTCCCCTGTTCCAGGAGTCAGCTTCCACAGGCACTGTGTGCTGGAGTGCCACACTCTGCTTTGGGGGTTACCCTTTTGGAAAGGGTTTGTTGTGTGTCAGATCTTTAAATAAGAAAAAATGGCAGGCTTTTTAGTTTTGGAGAAATTTTTTGACAACCTGTATGTTCAGCAGAAATTCTGACACCATAGTGCTGATCATGATACTAGATCTGGCAAATTAATCCAGAAAAGGATAAGGAAGTGATATGGATTTTTTTTTTTTTGCAATAGTCACCAAAGCAACTGTCATAAGCTTCACAGCAACTTTGCTCTGATATGTTTAAAATCAGTTATATTCAGACTTCTCTAAAACTTAAGCATATTGCTTATAATCACAGCATATAATCTAACTGTTATTATTCTCAGAATCAGTAACATGCATTCAATATTTCAGCCTAGGAACTGCCTCATGTGAACAAATCCTGATTGGATCATCATAATGTCCACACTGTGTCGCCTCTTTGAAAGGATTAGAAAGGACATTTGTCCTCAGAGAACCAGTTTCTTTCATAGCAGCACATTCTTCCCTAGCACAGGCAGCATGCATGAGAACAGGCATGAAACCACAGAGGAGGAAAAGATGGATTCTTCCCTCCTGCTATTTTGACAACACTTTTTTAAAGACTGTTTTTCATTTGAAAGATAGATTTACAGATAGGAGAGAGAGAGAGATCTTCCATCTGTTGGTTTAATCCTCAAATGGTTGCAACAACCAAAACTGAGCCAGTTTGAGCCAGGACCCATGCATTTCTTCCAGGTCTCCCACATGGGTGCAGGGACCCATTCTGTCTTGCTTTTCCAGGCTATAAGCAGAGAGCTGAATTGCAGCTAAGACTAGAACTGACACACATATGGAATGCCGGTGCCACAAAGCATTAGATTAGTCCATTGAGCCACTGCTCCAGCCTCTGTTGACAACACTTTAATTTCTTCCTTATAGTTCCTTGGCCTTGAATTTGCCTAATATCTCCATACATACTACCTACCCCTTTGCCATATCTACAAATTGTCATCATTCAGCCCCAATTCCCTATGCACCTCTTTCTCTATCTCATTCCTCATCCTCATCAGTCGCTTATTAATCCTTTCTGATTCTCTTTATCCTAGTCCCTTAGGTCCCCATAAACTACTATTCCCCCTGACAACAGGTTCTACCAATCTGCCTATAGCAATACGTCACTACAAAACAAAATGTGCCATTCTAATACCTAACATTCTCTACTTCTATGATTGCATCTACTACCTTGAGCTATAAAATATCTTCTGACATGTCTCTTAAGTGGATTTTTTTAGAAAGAGAGAGGTAAAGAGATATAAAAGAGATGCAGAGAAAGTTCCCATCCATTGGTTCACTCCTTAAATACCTGCAATAGCTGGGACTGGGCAGGAGACAGTCCAGAGCCAGAGTCAGAAACCAAGAATGTAATCCAAGTCCCCCACACAGGTAACAGAAACCCGATTTGAGCAATGGCCACTGCTTTTCAGAGTCCACATTGGCAAAAAGCTAAAGTTAGGAGCTGGAGCTGGGAATTGAACCCAAGCACTCTGATGTGGGATGTGAATGTGTTAACCATTGGATCAAATGTCCACTCCCTACACATCTGTTTTTCCAGTCTCTCTAAGAAACATGCATTATTCAAATATGTAGGTTTAACACTTAGTATCATGCCAGGCACTCAATAAATCATGGGTGTATGAATAAAGAAGTGACTGGCTTTCTTTTCCACATCCATGTTGCAGCCTTCCATGGTCGATAATGCACAAATGTATTGCCATTACTGCTTAATGACTTAAACAGAGCATGTCGCATACCAGTGCTTGCTAGTTTATGACATGCATGAGTAAATGCGTCAGAGAATAAAGTTAATTGCACATTTGCATGCATACTATGACCCTTCAAAATAGCAGTAGGATCCAATAGCAGTGCATTAAAATACATTGTCAAATAAGAATTTAGGAAGCACACCATGTGTTTCCTTAAGTGATCATAAAAAATAGCAGCTGAAGTCTTCGGATTTCATAAATGGTAGCATTACTATTTTAAGAGAATCAAATCAAAAAGTAATTCTGCCCTGAAATTGCCAATAACAGACTTGAGAAGGAAAAAGATTTCAAATTTTAAAACAATGCATTATTCACTTATTAACTGTGAGAAATGTCCTGTTAACACTATTTTTGTTTGGTGTGGTTGAGGATAAAGGTACAAGTAAATGTGAGATAGAACAGAAACTTATCAGTATTATTTATGCTCAGCAACACACCGCCAGTAGCTGGTGCTAGGACTTAGGAAAGCTTTGATTCAAATAGGAACCTGTTTTCCTGCTGACCTTTTGCTCTTTTTTTCTCTCATTCTCCTCACACCAACCGGGAATCATTCTGCTCCAGGGCTGCTACAACCTGATTTCCGGACCAATGAACCGACATGCCTGGGGAGTTGCCTGGTTTGGATTTGCTATTCTCTGCTGGACAGTGAGTATTCTTTAACACGTATTTCATTTCTCAGAAGATGAGGATAAGGAAAAATTTTGAGATTGCTGCTGGTTAACATTACCACATTAGAAAGTCTAGAAATAAACTCCAACCTGAAGGCCATTCAGGAAACCTCTACCACGAGAGCAGGGACAGTCAATTCCTTTGAGAAGTGAGGGAGTGGATGTGCCCCTGTATCTGAACTCTTTGGCTGAAAGAAGGCACTCACCCTAGGAAGATGGAGAACTTCCTTCTTTTGCCCTGCCTTCTTAATGAACTCCACCCAGTCTCTAGATCTCATTACTTTATCACAGTTAGTTGCAAAGACTGCCACCTTTCTTGTTAGCACCTGCCCAACATTATTTTTCCTAACCCCTTCCAAAGAGCTACCTTCACAGTCTCATTCTTTCTTACCACTTGCTTTATCTAATGCACACATAGCAAGACTTTAAAACAGTGGTTCCCAGCTCTGGAAGCACACGAAAACCTCCTAGAAGGGCTATATATAAAAAGACAAACAAAAAAACATAAAAATTATTTGGGCTCCAACTTCTGAGATCCTAATTCAGGTAATCTCCCCTGTGCATTGCTTAATTTGCTCTATAGAAATGGTTCCAAAGTTTTGATTTCAAGAACCATTTTACATTCTTAAAAATAAAGAAGACTTGGAAAATGTCTGTGTATGTGACCTGTTTCCACTCATATTTGCCTCATTGAAAAAAATAAACTTAGAACTTGTAAATACTAATTCATTTTTGAAGTAATATTATATGGAAGAATCTCTTACAACCAAAAAGACATTGATAAAATTAGCATTGTTTTCTGCTTTTACAAAACCCTTCATTATTTGCTTAGTAGAAAATGCCTGCATTTTATTTGCTCCTTTATTCAATTTGTTGCACTATGTTTCCTAGTTTGAAGACATACATCTTTCACATAGATTAGTTGATTAAAAACAGGGGTGTTTTGATAGACTTGACTGAAACTACTTATGAATTTTCTATCGCTACCACACCTAACTTTACAAATGACTCTTACTTAAAGATTAGTCACAGTATGAGTTCCAATACTATGTTGATGATTTTTTTCCCCCATGTTCTATTACCTTGAGTTCTGTGGCGTTCTTTGGAGGGAGCCATTCAGGACTACATTTAAAGAGAAAGGGAAAATCACCTAACAGCAGAGGTTAAATTCCATTAGCGGGCCCGGCGCGGTGGCGCAAGTCGCCCGGGATCCCATATGGGCGCCGGTTCTAATCCCGGCAGCCCCGCTTCCCTTCCAGCTCCCTGCCTGTGGCCTGGGAAAGCAGTCGAGGACGGCCCAAAGCTTTGGGAACCTGCACCCGCGTGGGAGACCCGGAAGAGGCTCCTGGCTTCGGATCGGCATAGTATCGGCCCAGTTGCGCTCACTTGGGGAGTGAATCATCGGACGGAAGATCTTCCTCTCTGTCTCTCCTCTCTGTATATCCGCCTTTCCAATGAAAAAATAATAAAAATAAATCTTTAAAAAAAAATTCCATTAGCAAGAAGCAGCCAGCTAGAAACCCTGCCTGTTACACACTGGGGGATAATTAGCCTCGAGGGAGAAGAATTCCCCCAGGAAGTTCACTTAGCACACAAATGAGCAGAGCAGCCCTAGAAGACAGAAAGTCCCCTTGGGTATCAGGGTCAGAGGATGTGGAGCAGGGAAGTTGCCTTGGAGGGGCAGGGTGTAAGTGATGCTTCAGAGTAGAGTGAGCTCAGTGTCACATCTGGCTTGGTGATATTGGTCCAGGCAAGACTACTCTTAAAAATCCAGGGTGCTCAAACATAAATGACCCTAACTTGGTTTTACATGTAATATGAAATGTTTCTGAAACAAGTTTGTATCTTTTTTTTTTTCTAGTTTTGGGTCCTTCTGGGTACCATGTTCTACTGGAGCAGAATTGAATATTAAGAACACTTGACTCCGGATTAGGGACTGGAACCAGCTCTATTCCACAACTGGACTTCACAGTAACCTGAGCAGGACTCAGCCTTCCCAGTTGAGGGTAAAGAGTGTCTTAGGTGCTCAGTCTCCTGAAATTCTCCTAACTAATGTTTTTCACCCTGATCTAGGATTCAGTTACAATCTTCTAGACTGATGTGTAAAGTAGATGTCAACTCCCATCCCAGGTTATGGTAGAGATGTAAATACAATCAAAGGAATCTGTGTTGTTATAGTCAGGCAGGTGTATATTTAGGTAGCACATCGTCCTGTATTTCTGTTTTCTAAAATGAACCTTCCAAGGCTTCTCTTGATTTCAGCCCTGAGCAGGTGAGATAAGTAAGGAAATGACAGTTGAGATGTATCCTTTGCCCCTTGTTCTGTGGTGGCTGCTGTCTCTAGAGACCTGACCACATCTCTTGATGTCACCTTCACATTCTTTAATTCTCTAGAACAATCCCCCCACCTTGAGCTAACAACAGTTCAAATTTCCTCCCATACGTTGCAGAGTGACATGTGTATAGTAATTTCAATTCTCCAAAAGAGGACTGTGAAACACAAAGGGGAGGCCTGTTGCATGTTTACCAAAACTTTGCTCTCAATGGTCCCAACTCACACACCTTTCAAACAGAAGAAAGGCAAGCTGCCTCTTGGCAAGAGTGGCTTATGGGGATCTTTGTTTCTGTCACAATTTCTTCTCTGAACAGCTTCCATTTGCAGCCCTAAAGGAAGTTCTTATAAAACAACATTTTTGTGTGTGATCTTATAAACAAAAAAGTTGTGAAATATGGCCACTTCCTTTTATTTCTACCAATGGCATAATTTAGCCACATCTGAGTACCAAAATGAATTTTCCAACAGAAGGACCTAATTCATGGGAATAAGTGGAGGAGATGATAACTGCACACAGGTGTGTGATTTCCTGCTGGCTACCGGCCCCTGCTCTCCAGTGGAACCTTGCGCCACTGCGCCTGCTAGACTTCACACCAGAAGTTGTGATGGAGTCATGTGCTTCGGAATCTCTTCTTCTCAACTTGGAAGCCATGGAAACATTGCCAACTCCAACTGCGAAACCGCACGTCTTACTAAAACACATGTCTGGAATCCCATTCTCAGCCAACTCAGAGGGAGCACCACAACCCCACACTGCTGCACGGATCCTGAGTCAGGCTGGGCACTAGAGCAAAGGATAGCAAAGGAGACAGTGACACACAGAGCATTCAGGTACATCTGCTGGTAAAGCCAGGTCAGGAGCCTAATTCTGCATCCTCAGGCTAGGGGGCCAAAGGCTGACCCCTCACCAATCTCCCTGTCTCCTTCCCAGGGCAACAGTCTCAGGGTAACAAGACATGACAGCTGGGTTTGGCTGATGTTCTTCTCTCTGTGGTCTTTCAATGGAGGTTCCTGTGGGCAAAGGTTTAATCTCCTTTGCTGCACTCTGCTGTATCCAGGTGCCTTTGGCTTCTCCCATTCTCTAGGACTCCTTGTGCCCTCATGCTCTCTGCTGCTTGAGAATTCCCACCCTACACCCTGACCTGGCTTTCCACCAGGGCCTCTTGCTCTCAAATGCTCCTTACAAAATTCCGTTTTCCATATGACAAACCTCAGGTCAAAGCAAGGTCTTTTGGGAAACGAATTCATATGAAGCAGTGAGTGAAAAACCAGTCCCCATCTCAATCTCTGCCAATGTTTTCCTGATCACTGGAACTGATCTCTAGTTGGTGGAACCCAGTGCAGCAACAGGAATAGGTGCTATCCCCATTTCCCCCACCTCCACCGCTCTTCAAATCCTATCACCTGATCTCTTTCCCAAGCATCAACTAGGCAGAGAAAGGGCATTTAGCTAACCACCGTCCTCTCCACCACCTCCAGTTAGCTTCCCACTGGAGACTCAGCCTCGTTCAGCCTCAAAAGTACAAACCCCTCTCTGAATGGAGATAATCTGTTCTCCCAAAGCCAAATATTGTCCTGGATTCAGTAACCTTTGAAATCTACACCACAACTCTTTTTTTTTTTAAGATTTATTTTTATTATTTTTTTATTGGAAAGGCGGATATACAGAGAGGAGAGACAGAGAGGAAGATCTTCCGTCCGATGATTCACTCCCCAAGTGTGCGCAACTGGGCCGACGCTATGCCGATCCAAAGCCAGGAGCCTCTTCCAGGTCTCCCACGCGGATGCAGGGTCCCAAAGCCTGGGCCATCCTCGACTGCTTTCCCGGGCCACAGACAGGGAGCTGGAAGGGAAGCTGCCGGGATAGAACCGGCACCCATATGGGATCCCGGGCGTGCAAGGCGAGGACCTTAACCACTGCGCCACCGCGCCAGGCCCCACACCACAACTCTTGAGAAGGAAAACACTTTGCAGCTGAGAAAAGAGACACCTGTGAACCCCAAGCAGCATGCAGGACTTTTGCACTTAAGATCCATATAAACTCAGCGGAATTTCTGTTCTGCCCAATGACTGTTTCCTGTTTCCATCCCTTTCTGCCTCCTCTGGAGGCCTAGCCTTCCCTTCATCCTTCCAGCTCCTGCTCACTGTAGGCACCCAGTGGCCTCACGCTCTGGCCCAATGCCCCCACAACAGAGAGGAAGAGGATGGCGGGGAAGCATGACCTGGGCAGCTGGCAGTTTTCTGAGCTTGAGATGGGCCCAGACAATGCCACCTTGTACAACCTCCCTCTTCAACAGTCAGCTTGCTCATGCATTGGACAAAGAACAACTCTTACCTAACTTCTACCTACAGATGTGCTCTGTTGACTCAGGACTAAGTTTTACTTGACTGCAATGTCAACAGAGTGTCATGCTCTCTGGATTGGCCATTTCCCTCCCACATGTCTGCACAGGGCCCTAGCAAGCAACTCACCTGAACACTGGACAGCCCCTGCTGCTCCTGCTCATCAGCCCTGTTGCTTTTTTTTCAACCCCCTATTTCAGCTGAACAAAAAGGAGTTGCTGTTGTTTCAAACAATGGAGTCATTCATTCTGGCTTCTCATTAAGAAAATAGTCATGTGATGCAAACTCCAATCTTCGGTTCCACATAGTAGCCTAGTGGCTAAAGTCCTTGCCTTGCATGTTCCTGGGATCCCATATGGATGCCAGTACATATCCCAGCTGCTCCACTTTCCATCCAGCTCCATGCTTGTGGCCTGGAAAACCAGTCAAGGATGGCCCAAAGCCTTGGGACCCTGCACCTGCGCAGGAAACCTGGAAGAGGCTCTGGACTCCTTGCTTCATTTTTCTCTTAGTTATGCTTAAATAGTTTAGTTAACAAGTTCAAGCATTCTTGTTAAGTGAGATGCAGTCTTTTCTTACTGGCTTATATAGTCTCATACGTGTATGTGGGTTACCTTACCTAAGATGGAGTACAGCTTAAGATGGAGTCCCTAGTGGCAGGCCTATTATTTCAATTTGCATATGAGGACATGGAGTGTATGTTAGGGTGGAGACCGTGTGTGTTTCAGTATTGCTCCTCCCTCCACAATGTTTCTGAATTTCCTCTTTGGATGTGGCTACCTGAATCTGATAAAACATGTAAAATCAACTCAATAACCCACAGCAGCTTCCTGGGGGCTTGTTTGATTTAGTACTTACAGGAGCTGATAAGAATCTGAATGAGGCAAGACAAGGAAGAGAGCCAAGAAGAAATATCACCTGACATAGCAACAAAGGCTTCAAAGTTGGTCATTGTTTTATCCCTAAGGTAGTTCTGCATTAGCTCAGTTCCCCTGAAGTCCTTTGGGTTAATGGATTTGCCTTTATAAACCCCACAGTTCTATAATTTGGGTTTGAAAGGTCTTTAGGGCCTGAGCCCCCTCTTCAATGCTGGCAATAAAGGACTTTCATATTTTAATCAGTGTGTGGTGCTCCTCTGTATTATCTTGCAGGGGTACAACAAAATCTTCAGGGGACATAGTCAAATCTGCACCTAAGGAGAAATGGTGCTGGCTGACCCTACTTTTTTCCTCCAGAGAAACATAAACAGAACAACCCTGACTTCACAAAGAAGCTTGGCATCAGCACAAGGCTCTGCTCTTGTTAGATGCAAACAATCTCACAGAAAATCAATCACACATACGGGGTCACTCTGAGACCATCATAAAACGAGGGAAAGCAGGCCAGGCGCTGTGACCTAGTGGCTAAAGTTCTCGCCTTGCATGCATCGGGATCCCACAAGGAAACATTTATCTATAGATGAGTTTCAGAGGTTTGGGGGGATTTTGCTGTTGTTGAAATCCATTGACACCTCACAAATAACACTGCCTATCCATATTTCCTCTGTCCATTAGCTGATTTGCCGCCACAAAGTCACTACAAGCATAATGTTCAGAGTCAAATCCTTACCTCTTAATCCCCAGTTCTACATGACTTTCACAAATCACTCAGCTTCTAGGAGTGCGCCTCAGAAAAATAGGCCTATTATCACAGGACAGAGGTCTAGGTAAGAAACGTAAAATATGCATCAAAACGGGTAACTGTCTCTAAGAGGTACCTAACAAGAAATTCTATCATAAATCTACTCTGAAGATCTCCACCTGGCTTTTAATCCCTAGGAACACACCAAGTCATGCTGCTTCAATTTCTTACAGTAGTCCAAATGTACTGGTCACCAAATAACAACTATGTGTAATACCTTTGCTGTGAAACTCAAAAGCCAAAGGTGGTACTAAGGTCACCAAGATGATGCATACACCTTGAGCTCCTGGTATTATTTCCAGAATGCTAGCCAGTGCTTTCCTGACATTGTGAGATTCCGTAGTGGAGCTAAGAAAGGCACCACATTGGACTCAGCCTGAACTTACACCTTATTTCCTCCTCTAAGCAGTTTTGGGAAGATAGGAAACAGAAGTTTGTCTTCCCTTTGCATGATTTAGCTGCATGGCTATTTAAATGTTAAATTAGCCCCAGGGAAAGTGACTAATATGCCATGACTAATATGCCTTTTGCCTTTTTCTCCTCCAAGTCCCCAGAACCTGCACACCATATTTGCACAAAAGATTCCATATTTGAATTTTCAACAGCTGTAAAAAAAAAATGGAGCCATTATCTATGGAGTGTGCTCCCTCTTGGCCACTCCTTTGTATGTACTTTGAGATCCACTAAATCCTCTTACAAGTTATCTTAAAAACAATGA